TGAATAAAAGGACTAGAGTAGTATTGTTTTTATATAGCAAATCAAAAGTAAAATAATATCTGTCATGCTCCTGAATTTCCTTGGGATCAAACTTAAGAGAACCCAGAAAGTTATACCATTAGGCTCTGGAAGTTCTAGAAAGCTATAGTTGAAAGGGACAACCATTCCCTCACTTTATTTATTTAGAGACAGAGTCTCGCTCTGTCGACCAGGCTGGTGTGCCATGGTGTGATCTTGGCTCACTGCAACCTCTGCCTCTTGGGTTCATGCGATTCTCGTGCCTCAGCCTCCCAAGTAGCTGGGATTACAGATGTGTGCCACCACGCCAGGCTGATTTTTGTATTTCAGTAGAGACAGGGTTACGCCATGTTGGCCAGGCTGGTCTCAAACTCCTGGCCTCAACGGATCCACCCGCTTCAGCCTCCCAAAGTGCTAGGATTACTGGCGAAAGCCACCGTGCCCAGCCCATTCCCTTGTTTTAAAACAGACACTCATGACTTGGAAATGGATTTACATACTGAATGAACGGTGACACAATCCCTCTGTTCCCTGATCCCACAAAGTGGCAAACTAGGACTGCAAGGCCCAATCCAGAGGCTCTATTTGGTCATTTATCCAGCTTATGAATATTTGCTGAATACTTGTACTGTACCAGCTGTTATGATAGGTATTTGGGGGAACATCATGGATTCTAACAGGGAAGCACACAGCCGACTTCAATACTCATCTGGCTGGCATTAAGATAGAGGTAAGTAAAGCCACCCTGAACTCCCAGGTTGGATACTTGGAGAACAGGCTGTGGTACAACCTGGGGGGGCTCAGTGACTTCCTGCAGACAATGGCAGAGCTGAGTCCTAAAAAAATAACAAGGAGTTTGTCATCGTGAAGAATAAGAACAGCCTTCTAAGCAGGGTAACAACATGAGTCCCGAGGCATGAAACAGCATGATGCGGCAGGAAACTAAAAACAATCTGCTTCTCCTGAAACCTAACTTTTGAGGTAGAGTGGTGGAGATGAGGCTGGTGAGGAACACAGGGACTCAGTGTCATAAACCCAGGAGTTTGAACTTGAATCTCCAGTATAAACAAATTGTAGGTGGTAGAGTGCTGTGGTCAGAACTGCATGAAAGACAGATCAGGGGCCAGGCACAGTGGCTCATGTCGGTAATCCCAAATCAGGCTGCCTTCTCTGAGACAGATGGAGTCATGGAAGCCAGGTAAGATGCTACTGCAACTGTCCAGGTAAAAGCCATGAGCCTGAACATGATGCAGTACCAGGAAAAAAATGAAGGGGGTGTGGAGAGCAAGTTTAAGAACTGTTTTTAGAGCTAAAATCGGAAACACTTCATGATTACTAATCACTGTTTCTTAATACCCTTTGATAGCTCTACTACTACCTACATACAACCTATAGCCATAGCACTCACAGTGGGTTGGTGGTGGCAGAGGTGGTAAAAGAGAGGTGCTGAAGATGATTTTCAGTCATAAGGAAAAAGCTGAGAGGGCGATCAGAAGAAAAAAAGAACTTTTTCTATTGCCACAACCTCCCGAAACCTCTTCCTCTATCCTTCCTAGAGCTGAAGACCTTCACCACAATGAAATAACTAAAAGTCAGCAACATTCCTTTGTTCTTGGGCTAGAACAGCAGTCAACAATCTGCTCCACAGCTTGTTTTTTTTGAGACAGAGTTTCGCTCTTGTTGCCCAGGCTGGATGCAATGGTGCAATCCTGGCTCACCACAACGTCTGCCTCCTGGGTTCATGAGATTTTCTTGCCTCAGCCTCCTGAGTAGCTGGGATCACAGCCATGCGCCATCATACCCGGCTAATTTTTGTATTTTTAGTAGAGATAGGGTTTCACCATGTTGGTTAGGCTGGTCTCAAACTCCTGACCTCGTGATCTGCGTGCCTTGGCCTCTCAAGGTACTGGGATTACAGGCATAAGCTACCATGCTCGGCCACAACTCTCCTAAAGATCAGAAGGCATGGGTGAGAAAAGACAACTAACTTTCCTACTTTGGTGAGGTTCAGATCGTTTGCTTTTTTTTTTTTTTTTTTTTTTTTTTTTTT